CTCAAAGTACATGTGCAGGTCCAAAGCCGCTATTTTCAGTATTCTGCGGTCTTCCGATTAACAAACGATACCACCAACACCCGGATCCTTCCAAAAACAACTCTCTGCTAGGCATGCACGGGCGGCTTCGCTCAGGCCTTTGCTTCGAAACCTTCCCCTTCCCCGCCCCTAGAAACAAAAGCAGGGAAACGAAAGTGAGGTCCCAAAGAGCTTAGTTGCGAGGACCTATGAGGAAATAGGAGAGCGAGGCTCTGGATATGGCCCCCTGAACAGAGACAACTTTAAAGGAGGGGGGGGGGGAAAAGGGGGGGCGGTCCTCCCCTCCTTTCCCCCCCCCCCTCCTCCGAAAATTACTTCCAACCCCCAAGAAGGGGAAGAGCCCAGCCGGGGCCAACCCATGCAGGAGCGTTTGGCAAAAGCGGTCTGATCGTCCGGACTCCCTTTCTCCCCCACTGGGACGCAAATACCTGACTGTCACCCCAGGGATGTCCCAGCCGCGTCCCACTCCATGTCTTGCTCCGGCAGTTGGAGGCCCAGACGCGAGCGCCTCAATCTGGGCCGGCCGCCATGTCAGCCGCGGCGCGCACTGCATTGTGGGGGAGGGGAAAGGACGGGAACACCGGGACTGAGTGAGAAAGAGAGAGAGAGAGAGAGAGAAGGAAGGGGAAGCGGCGGTGGCTGCCTTCTGCCGGGCTACCTCGGGGCCGAGACAGTTAGGCGGTTCCCCAAACTACAAAAGGGGAGACTCCTCCTCCTCCCTCAAGGGGTGAAATTGTCTTTCCAACCCGGGAGGCCTCCACAACAACAACACCACCCCCCGCCGAGCCAGGAGCTCCTACTAGCCGGAGCGACCGCTTCTATTTCGCCCCTCTGCGCGAGGGCGTCCGCGGCTCTCCCGTCGGCCCACAGTTTTAATTTGCTCTCCTGGTTTATTTGCCTTCGTGGTCACTTCTAGCGCCACGGAAAGGGCGAAGGAAAATGTCGATATAATAAAAGCTGGAATCAATGCCTTGTGGTTGTTGTTGCTTTGTAAAAAGAAAGCACCATTATCTACCTACTGTTTTAGAAACATGTAGCCAAGAAACCACTGGAATACATTTCCCATAATCGTTAACATAAACATATCTCCCGTGAAGATTACTCTCCCTGCCCATTATTGGTTAAGTGAGATATAACAAGTACGGTGCAACAACGAATACAGTACATACTCCAAGATTTTTCTTATTTATATATGGCTTCATGTATTAAAGCACCTTAAGAAGTTTAAAATAAAAATACACCCATAAATTACATAATAAAATAATGCCTGAAATAATTCAAAATGGTACAAAACAGTCATAAAAGCAGATTCATTAAAATATGCATGAAAGGGGAGAGTTATTTTTCCAACATTCATGTAATGCTGGATGAAGAGCTTTTTTTAAAAAAAAAATGCAGATGTGAAATACGTAATAGATTTGTTTAGAGTGCATGTCAGAATAATGACATTATAGTATTGCACTAGAAATGGAGAAGAGAGATCAGTAGCAGTTCAGGCCAGTCTTGGTCTGATGTCAGAATAAACCCATGAAAAGAGTGGCAACATATGGTGATTCTGTCAGGTCAGAATGTGAGGGGCCTTTAGATACTTTAAACACAAATGTGGCTGATATTGTAGCTACAGCATATCCAAATGGCAGTATGTTTCAAGTATCTGAAATGGATTAACTCTATTTTGATTACTGTAAATTCCAAGGAATTCAACTTCTAAGAAGCAATATAGAAGTGTTGATGTTGGCTTGATTGTATGCGTCAGTAATCAACATGATCATTCAAACTAAGGTAGAGACCTTCAGTATGATGATAACCTTCAACATATCATTTATCAACTTTAGCACTACTTGACTCCAGACTAACATTTCTTGCCATAATATTTGTATTCGTACCATCCACTAACACTGCCGCATGCTGGGGTTTACTGTCCCCTAATGACCAAATGCAGTCAGGTGACCAGCAGTAAGTGTGATCAGAAATGTGCCTTGGGATTGTCAGGAGGAAGAAGCAAGCCTGCTCCCTCTGTTCACTAGCATCTGCCACCACCATTAGCACTTTATTTCCACTGTTTTTTTCATTGTATCCTCTTTACCATCTTTGTTGGTTTCCAACAAGGTAGATGAGAAGACAGCTGTCTTTCTCTTTTCATTTATAGTGCTAGTAATAACACCTAGACTTATTTACAAATGCCAGTTTATTGCCCCTAACTATCTGGGTCCTCATTTTACCAAGCTCAGAGGGATGAAGGGTGAGAGAATCTTGAGCTGGTCAGGATTGAATTCCTGTCTGTGGGCAGAGTTAGCTTGCAATTCTGCATTCTAACCACTATGGCTCATTATAGAAGAAGAGGAATAGTGTTTGTATTTGCCAGATTCCCTGGATTTGCCATTTTCAATCATAATCCCACTTTCCTCTGAAGTAAGGGAGGTAGTTTACCAGCAGGTAATTTTAATTTTAGCTAATTGCACAATTATGAACAAACCCCTCCCCTTTAAATGCCACATTTTAACTAGGGAGATACCAAATGTAAAAAGAAACAGAAATAATGTCCTAAAGAAGACATAACTCTTGTCTGGATTAATGTACTACAATGTGCTTTTTTTATATAGGGCTGCTCTTAAAAGACTACTAGAAAGTTCCACTAGTAGTCCAAAGGGTAGCAATGTGAATAGTTACGGATGCCCATGTAGTTGCAGCTTCATGAGTGTACTCCTTGCCAATAAGCTTCCAAGTACAATTCAAGATACTGATTGTTACCTTTCCTGGTACAGGGCCTGATTACATTTGAGATTTCCTATCTCTGATTATTTCTGACAAACTTAATGTGAACTGACGGGGTGAGTATGCTCTGCCCTATCATTTAAGCAGTGTGATCTGTTTGATCCTGCAGCCAGTTTTTCTTTTGCAACAGTTGTCCTTGTGGAACAGTATTTTCCCCAAGATTTGGATGGCTTCAAACCTGCCTACTTTTTGGAAGGCTCTGAAGATCGGATTTTCCCCCCAAGCATGGGATCAGGAGGTTTTATGGCAATTTTGATTATAGAGTCCTTGGTGCCCCTTGAGCTTGGTTGTTTTCTTGCAGAAGAAACATCTGCAAATTAGATAAAGTCATCAGTGTTAAAAGGGATTGAGGGTTGCTCTGTTTTTATATACTACTGGCTTGCCCTGCCAATATTGATGAAACATTATTGGTGGTTCTTTTTGGCTGTTTATTGTTAGCTTGTTTGTCTGAGTTGATAGTTCCTTGATTGAGCGGGTGGTATTATTTACTTGATTATTGGTTCAGTGTTAATCTTGGTTTTAGTGTCTGCTCATCTAGGCGTTGATTGTTAATGAGGAGGTGTGGTCTTTTTGTTTCCTTTTTGGTTTTTTTATTGTCTCTTTTGAATGGTATGTAGATGTTTATCTCCATATGCCTGTTGATTGCTGATTTGTCTAAACTTTGTCAGTCTTTTCATTGATTTTGATTATTTTTAGTTGTTTGATGTTGTCTCTTGGTGCAATATGTTTTATTATATTTAATGTTTCATCATTGTTTGCTATTTTTACTTCTATACAGGGTCCCAAGTTGCACATTAATTGGGCAGCTATATAAATTAAATAATTAAAAATACATATTGAAATCACCACTGGATATTGTAGTCAATTACACTTCCAGCCTCATCTACTCTGCAATATTGTTATATAGAAAAAGATGGAAAGAAGTATTTATACTTCACCCATTTCTTAAAAGAAATATAGATAAAACCATATTAAATAGATTGGTGATCATTTAACATAATACTACTGATCTTTAGAGTAGCTGGATTTTAAGGACTTATCTTCCTTTTTTGTTTAAAATACAAACTTGATGTGAAAGAAACAGAAAATCAGGAAGAAAATATGCAGGAGAAAAATGGAAGAGAAACCAGATAAATATTTGCCCATCTACTATTTCCTTTAAGGTTGTCACAGTAACTGAATCTGAAAAACTTTACAACTGCTGCACTTCATCCCACTGGCTACTACCAGTATTAGACATTCATCCTAAAGATAAATGAAAACTTGTCTTCCAATGTAAATCTCAGGCAGAATCTAGAGAACTGCTGATGATCATTACGACACTAGTTGACTCTGAACATCATGTAAATATGCAACTCATCATGTTGGCGGAGAATTGGTTAGATAATCTCTGAACTGAGAATCTTACTGAAATTTGAATTAGTTCTTTATATTGATCAAAAGAATGTATTTCATAATATAGTATGACTTTTATTTGCATTTAAATTGGTGACAGAAAAGTCTGGGGCATTTCTCTAATCCTTTTGACTAAAGCACATAGCAAAAGCGGAACAAAAACCAGAGACATACATTTCCATGGAAATGCAGGAAGAAACAAAGAATAACAAAAATAGTAATATTGCATTGTGCAATACTGTCCAGTTTTGCTTGGCTGGATTTAAAGTTAGACATACACTCAATAGGCATGTATTAATTTATGTCCAATACATTGCAATGGATCTTTTCTAAATATAAAGGTTTTTGCTTTTGTTAAGCCTATTCTGAACCTGCAGATTTATGTGAATGTATGAATCAATGAAGTAGCAGAGATATTCCATTTATTTTATTTCTTATTAATTAGCATCAATCCTTGATGGTTAAAGTGAACTGGATATAATGTTATATAAGACAGGCACCTAGTGTTTGAAAGTATAGGACTACTGTCTCAGGATGATAAACCATGGTTTGGCTGATCATGGCCTGTATCAATTTAGCTGAAAATCATAAAGCAAAGTTTCTAAGGAACTCTCCCATCTTTGTTCAACACTTTTGCTCAATAACGAGTGCTGAAAACTCAATTGCTTCTACAGCATTTCATGCATTTTCAACTAATATTGTGAAAGAAATGCTTTGCGAGGAATTTTGCATTTTTTTCCTTTACAACGTCCAGGTCCTTGACAGACGAACTTCTCGTTCGAGAAGATTGAATCCGTTACCTTTATAGAAAAACTTCCTTTATTTATTCCTTCATTCCTTCATTCCAGCCGTAGCTTCCTTCCCGCAATGCTTTGCGGTAGGGAGGACGTCAATTGAAAGCTGTGCGGTATGTTAGATCCCGAGGACACCGCGGAGCCCAAAATTGGTTCTTCCTTCCCAAAAATTTTTCTTCTCCCTCTAGCCATGCTGATCGTCGTAGGAGCCCTGCTGTTCTTGGTCTTTTCCGCCTCGGAACAGAAAGAGGACAATTTTTACTCGTTTAAAGTGGTCAACATCAGGGGTAAACTAGTCTCCCTGGACAAATACAGAGGCTCGGTAAGTCTGCGGAGGAGAGAGAGCCACCTATCTGCCGCCACCAACTAACCAGCAAGTCATCTCGGCATGCCTGCATGACGGACGGGGGAAAAGGAAGAAGGCGCACTGATCTGGCTGGGAGGGTTTGCGGGATGGATGCCCTTGATGGGGCTCCCGGTTGTCTGCGACTTTGCGCCTACGGTTCTGTAACGCCGTATTAAAAAAAAAAAGTTTACAGTCGGATCTTTCCCCTCTTCTTCTTCTGCCTATGGTGCGCGGAGTTTGCTTTTTGTGCACAGACGATCCCGCGTCTACGTGGCAGGCGGGCTGAACTCCCTGCTTTAATATGAGCATGTTTCTGAATAAGCGAGATAAAGGCGTGGGTTTGGGATCTACTCGTAATGGTGTTTTTTTTTTTTAATGATTTACCAAACGACTCTGCAAACCATTTGCCGCCTTTAATACAACACAAACGGTTGATTAACCGGGATGGAGGAAGACAGAATAGGTATCATCCTACAAAGACCGCTCCAACATCGGAGTCGGATTCCTTAAACAAAACAAAAGATAATAAAGTATTAAAATTCACTTGAGTTTTAACAATGGATGTTTCTGTCATGTAGAAAGTTAGTCTGAAGAAAATTCAGATAAAGTAAATCATTTAGAATTAATATTTTAGAACTCAGAAATTGAACTTGATGGTCTGTTTCTAGAGATGCGAACTTAACTAAAGGTTCAGAGGTTTTTATCATATAGCAGGTAAGAAACATATTTGATACATATAATTATTAAAAAGCACATGAGATAAAACCTTCTGTCTGAAAACTATTTAACATACTGAACGTCTAGTGAGAGATTTAAGAGTAATATGGAAAGCACAAATATTTCATTTGAAATGGTATCACTTGTAATGAATTGCATAGAGAAGCATGGTTCCAAATGCAGGCAGATATGTAAGTAATCCTGTATAGTTTACCATAATGCATACTGATCTATATTAAAATTTATTCATTATTGCTTGCTGAAGCTCTTAATTACTGATATAAACTGGTGATGATAATATCTTTATTTAAAATCTGAAACCAGATAGGTAAATAAATATTCCAATGCCTTAATTTTAATTTTTTTTAATAAATAAATTTTCTTGATTTTACAATTAAAACAAACCAACAACACATACACAAATGAAAGAAAAGAAAAAAAAGGAGAAGAAAATAGAAAAAATAGAAAACAATTAAAAACATTCTCATCTTCTACAGTATGTAATTTTAATTTTAAATTGAGACCTAATTAAGAACTTAATTAGGACAGTGCATATAAATCCTATTGTAACTCATTAAAAGTAAATTTACTGTAAGAGTAAATCAAATCAGGATGCTGTTTTTCCCTTCCTTCCTTTCCCCCATACACACATGTGCACACATGTGCACACACACACATTAAGAAGTTCCTATGGAGAAAAAAATAGTGACAATGAGATGCTTTTGGGTACTAATTTTGGGTGCTTTGGGAAACTCACAGAAAGAACATTGTACTATATCTTGGCAATCTACAAATAAAAATCTTTTATCCAGACATTGATGCATACAGATACAAAACTTGGATGCTCTGATATAAAACTGGTTCTTTATTCTAACCAAGATTAAGCATTCAGCTCTTGCTGGTTATGAAAAATGCATTGGGACAGGATTCACTACTTTCCAAATATATTCCAAAGTATTTTCCTATTTATCATTTAGACAATTTTTATTTTATCAGCTCCCTAGTAGATTTCTTTGTCTAGCTAGGTAGTAAAATGAATGATCTTGGTTGGTCTCAGCTAAGCACTATAGCATATTTTTATTTTATTTATACCCTTTATTATTTTTATAAACAACTCAAGGCAGTGAATGTACTGTATCTAATGCTCCTTCCTCCTCTTATCTTTCCCACAACAGAACTGTATGTGTAAATAGTGTAAATATATTCTCAGGAGTCTTCTCCAACTCCAATTCAAATATATCAACACTTTTTCTATCTTCTTCAGTGTTGTTCTTCCATATTGTCAAAAGGAAAACCATTGATCTAATCTTCGTAGCTATAGACATATTCCCACATCTGAATATATTTCCAAGGTCTTCACTGCTCTTTTATTTAGCAAATAAGTCTGTAGGGTATTAACTGCTAGTTTGTTTACTCTGTCTTGAAGCCTTTTAGGATCAACCTAAAGTATTTTCATTGTCAACAAAGGTTACGTGTACTTTAATAGACTTCTTTAGAATATTTGGTTTATGCCATTATACTTTTTACATTTCTCACCATCCAGGAGGATAACATTTACAAACACTTGTAATGAATTTGTTATATCACATACAGTATTTCTTCTAAAGTGTGCAAAGTAGCATTAACCACAGTCAATCCTTAGTTTTATCCTCACAAGACCTACAAGTTACCCACTGAACTGCAAAGTACTTGGCTAAGCCTCCCAGAAAGCAGCTTCCTAGTATTAATATAGTTATTCCATTTTTTCTTCCATAAAGAAGAAATACAAAAATTATGCCAAAATTATCATTTTTTCATAAAGTCATTAGTATAATCAGCAATTGCCTAATGAAACCATCTCTGAAAGAGATCAGTGGTTCAAAAAAATGTGAAAAATAAAAATAAACAAATATTTGAAAGTATGCTTAAAAGTATTCGTGTCTGTGTGTAATCATTTCAAAGCTACTTCCAAGATAGAATTCCATATCTTGTCCTTTTTATGATACCAGCTACTATATTTTCCAATATTATATGCTCTGATAATTTCTTCCAGTTTTATCATAGATCTACAGAGATAATTCAAGTGATCCGAATGCTTGGTAATATAGCCAGTTTGAGCTAGTGGTTAAGACAGCAAGCTAGAAAGCGAGAGACTGAAAGTTCAAATCTCACCTTGGCCATGAAAACCAGCTTAGTGACCTTGGACTAGTCAGTCTCAGCCCAACTCACCTCTCAGGGTTGTTGTGGGGAAAATAGGAGCAGGAAAGTGTGTTGGATATCTTTGCCACCTTGAGTTATTTATAAAATTAATAAAGATGGAAAATAAATAAATTCACTGAATGTAGCAAATTCGTTGCTATGCATATATAGTATAGTACTTATATAGTACTACTATGTATGTCTAGTACTCTATCTATCTAACTTACATGCTCCACATCTCTCCAAAAGCTACTCTTATAGTATTTTGTTTCATTATCAACTTGTTTTGATGCACACATTTAATGTACCACTTCCAAGATGTTGGAAGTAAAATGCAGGAGGAGTTATAGGGTCCACTAGATGGCAAACGTGATTCACATTCAGTTTTCCTGAGTTGAGCGTACTGTATTTATAACAGTTTGATTCTCAGCTGTTACCTTACATGTAAGGGCTAAGCTCTCCACAATCTAGTATTCTCAAGGAATCATGGGATGACAAATCCCATTATTTCTTGTCAGCACAGTTGTTGTCTTTCTCAGATTAAAAGAAAAGAATTAAAATATAGAGACAATTCTACATTCAAAATTTGATAGCTTATTAAAGCATAGATTTTCCATATTTATCATCCAGTACAGTAGCTGGTCCTTAACAAGCTCTGGTTAGCCATACAGCAACCTTCCTAATCCAGGTAGTCATTGATTTAATGACCACAATTGAACCCAACATCGCTGTTGCTAAGTGAAGCATTCGTTAAGTGAATGTCACATTTTATGACTTTTCTTGCCACAGCTATTAAATGAATCACTGTAGTTGTTAAATTAGTAACACAGTTGTTAAGTGAATCTGGCTTCCCCATTGACTTTGCTTGTCAGAAAGTTGCAAAATGGGATCACATGATCCTGGGGCATTGCAACTGTCATAAGTATGAGCCAGTTGCCAAGCATCTGAATTTTGATCATGTGTCCATGGGGATTCTGCAGTGGTCCTGTGAAAAAAAGTCAGAAATCACTTTTTTCACTGCCGTTGTAACTTTGAATGGTCAGTAGATGAACTGTTGTAAGTCGAAGACTACATGTATCTGGCAGAGTTATCCCCGGCATGCTGAATTGGGAACAATTCATTAGCACACAAGAATCCAGGAACTTCTGATAAGGAATCTTTCTTGCAGAGCAGGGGTGTCAAACTTGCATCGTCACAGCATCATCATGTGTATCATGACCTTTTTCCCCCTTCGCTAAACCAGGCGTGGGTGTGGCCAGCACGTGATGCATGTGGCCCATGAGCCACAAGTTTAACAGCCCGATTGTAGAGGAAGGCATTACAAAAGAATCCAACTTCATTTTATCTAAAACAGTTTCATAAAATTCAATGACTCATAAATTCAACCTTTCTCTCACCCAAACTTTGCTACTTACTGCACAGCCTGATTTTTTGAGCAAAATGTCTGGTTTTTGTCTGTCTTTTCTTTGCTAATGACCAAATCTGACATCAGGTGATTTTCCTTTGGCCATGTGAAAAATAATTACAATAATATATCTGAAAAACAGATGGCTGAAGAAGGTTGTTATTTGATATATTAAAGCCATTCAAATATAGACTTAATGGCAAAATGGAATTCTTATTTACTTGTGTCTGACTATAAATAAAGTTGTTATTGCTGTTGTAGGTTTTGGTATTACCTCTAGTTAGATTAGTAGTTAAAAGCTTCAGTGGTCATTTGGAAAAGCACAGTAAAACACTAATGATTCTAGCATAGAAAATGTTCTGTCTCCCCTCACAACCTCTATGGCATATGAAATTCATCACAGGTAATTAATTGCACGATGCAGTTGTATATAAAAATGTAGTTGTCCCCTGATTATATGTTTCAATGAAACCTTACACTGAACAGAAATTGACACCACCTTTACATTACATAAAGTTAAATATTCACCTACCTGCAAATTTGATTACATAATTAGAATTTAAGCGCAGTTGTTTATACGATCAACATTTAAAGGGGGGAGCAATAAATATGGCAATTACAGCTGACAGTACTTTTAGCACCTCCTTTGATACAAAAGAAATTGTCCTGGAATCAATCTTTTTATCTTTTTTAATGTTTTCCCTATTCTTCCTTTCAGAACTCCTTTCAATTTCTCTCATATCTCAGAATACCAGGCAGGGTTGTTTTGTGGGGAGAAAAGGATAATGTCTGGAATAGATAGATAGATAGATGGATGGATGGAT